TATGGAATGAAAAGAACTTGGGCTCGCAAGACTTTCAACAATGAATGAAATGGGAGGAATGAAGAAGAAAGCTATTATTTATAACCTAGGGTTTTAAAATTTTCTTGGAGTAGCAAAAAACCCAAAAGCCCCAAATTGCACCCTAGGGTTTCTCAAGAATTCAAAAAAGGAAGGGAAGGAAAGAGTTTATATAGTCAATGGTGTCCTACAGCAAAAGCAGTCTACTGGAAGTGATGGGGTCGCCAATCAAGAGAATTTTTTGAAAAATTTGGATTTTAAGAGGTGTGTACGCTATTTTGACCGTAACTTTTGACCCGTAACTCCAAACAAGGCCCATAATATGTCAAATCGAATCTCTCGAAGAGCTCTACAAGAGTCACTGCCTTTGGCTATGAATGATGCTGAAAAAAGCCCAAAAAGGGCCTGGATATATATGTTTTTGCCTTCTGAAGTTTTTCTAATTTTGTTGTTCGGTCAAAAATTCAAACTCGACTGAATGCCTTCCTTTCTAAGTTCCTTAAATGCAGGGCATTGGAGGGCAAATGATGGGTCAGGCCCAAGGGCCCAACCCATATTATAAGTCCGGTCTAAGCTAATGATCCAATCCCAAGAGATCTGACAAGTCCAGTCCAAACGAGGCCTAGGCCCAATCAAGTCCATCACCACCAAGTGAGCATCAAGAGTCTCACCCTCGCAACTTGGAGAGCGTCAACCTCCCTCATCCATGACCAAGTCCTTTGGAGAGCACCTTAACCTCCTTGCCGGTTAAGGATAGGAGAGGTCGAGGAGAGAAAAAGTTGCCAAGAGATTTAATTACTATTAAACGACTCCAATTATGACCGTCAGATTAGCTATTCAATTACTACGCAGGTGACTATAAATTGTACGCTCCCCCAACACTTGGGGGGCATCTCATAAAAAATCAAGCGCATCTCCTCTCCCTCTTGTAATTCTTGTTCTCCCAACGAACCAGAGTCAATAAAATTTCCGGTGAACCTAGCCATTGAAAGTAGACGTAGGTCTCATTGGTCAAACCACTAAATCTTGTCTTCTCTCTCCCTTTACTCACTACATTTTATATTATTTAATTGACAGATGGTGTGCAAATCGATTTTGTGCATCATCAAAAATCACGCAATATTATTTCGGATCGGGTTATCATCCAGATCAACACAAACTAGCCTCCACAAAAGCCCAACGGGCCATTCATTGTGGGTCGGCTGGCCGTGTCTAATGAGGGGTTTAATGCATCAAAAGGAAGAAAACCACAACTAAAAACAGTATTAATGGTACATATTTTTTCTTTGTTTCTTTTGTTTTTGAAATATTTACAAAACATTTTCGTATTTAACCCAACCGAATTTATGTCCCAAAATTTTGATCCTTGTTTCTACCGCAGAAAGTAACCCATGAACGCGCGCAAATTCCGCGTTCTTTCCTATAAAATACAGAACCACCATTGTAATTAACTAATCAAGTTGATTATCATCATCCTTATCGGTTAATCTTTCTCTATCAGCCATTAAAAGACAATTAAAGTTTCATGATTGATACTTTGTTGGTGATAGGTATGACAATGACTAGGGAACATATATAAAGACCTTAGGTCAAGCTTAAATTGATTAAAATTAAGAAAGTTTAACCAAACTTAAGACTATGGAATACAGTACACCAACCATGTATTGAACCTTTCACCATAAGAAGTTAGGTTAATCCAACTTTGCTCCCTCAAACTATGAGGTTTGTGTTCCGTTGTCTCCTCAACTATGGTTATTAATTTTACACCATCCCAATGATTAACGTCAGTTAGAAATTTGACAAAAGTTGTTTCACTTTGACTCTCGAGGTACATAACTTTTTTTCACCTTGTCTAGTAGATACATTAACATTTTTCATCCAAAAAATAACATACGGCTGTGTTTTGGATTGTGTGAAACTAGTTCAAGTAATTGAAAAAAACAATGTGGTAAATTTAACAGTTGAGAAGAGAAGGCAAAGTGACATAAACTATATAGTTTGAGGGGAGAAAGTGTAACTACCCTAATGTGAAGTAATTATCATCATCTGATGTGCGCAATTTATGAATGATTGTGTTCAAATTTTGAAGTGTAGTTACGAGTCTAAAGAGGAAGTGTTTTGAACGATTGTGCTTTTTGGATGAAATCAGTTATTGCTAACCCATATTTTAGGCTAGGAGACGTAGTGATCTTTATGTTGTTATTCTCGTAGTTTTATATGAATTAATGCTGGCTATTTTCCAAGAGAGACAACTAGTGGAGCCTTTTCCACCAAAGGTAACCTTTGAAAGGGACAATCCATTCTCACAATTTCAAGATGCCTATTCTGGTTCTTTTGTACTTCTTCCAGAAGCGATTCCCAGTGTCTCCCATAGAACAAATATATCATTTGTGTGTGTGTGTGTGTGTGTGTGTGTGTGAGAGAGAGAGAGAGAGGGCACTATCAAGTGTTGTAAAAGAAACTCACAACTACCATTCATATTTGTCAATTTCTCATAATCAACAAATTGATGTGGGAACACCGTCAAGTGGGGGTGGTCCAGTAGAGTACTAATCGAATTTCTAACGTCAAAGTTGAAAGTTCAAGTTTTGAAGTTCACATTGGTACTCGATGATTAATCGCTATACTAGTCTAACTAGATTTGTTCCCGAGAGAAGTAATAGACGCGATCAAGGGCCTCATGAGCCCATCGGTGATGACCTATCAAGATGATTTTTGAACGCTCTCTTTTGTCACACTCATTTTTTTAATTATCAAAAAAAAAAATTGATGTGGGAACGATCTTCTTTTTGTTACTTTTTGGAAGTTACAAATGAAAGGGAGTGGGAAACAAAACAATTCTAACTTCAAATCTAAGTCAATTAAAATGAAGAAAAGCTAAAACAAACTTGAGACATGATTACGACCAAAAATATTGTATAGTCATTTCTACATGGAATAGCACTACAGCTCCAATCTTTTTTGGTATCTAAAGTTTCGAGTCTGATACAAAGACTAATTGTTAGAGGTAACAGGTAGAACGATAAGACCTAAATGGACAGTTATGAGTTCAAGTTTAAGAATACGAGTTTCTCCTATATAAGCGTAAAGTTAAAGACGAGAGCTTACGTGTAGGTGACTTGACATAGACTAAAGACTTGGAAGAATAATAGTGCAAAGCAAGACTACTGCATATGGCTCTAACATTCTGCTTTTCTAATAATTCATGCTGGAATTTTCCACAAAGCACAATAAGTGGTGATCCACTTTCTATTGAAGATAATATATGATGGAGACAATAAGGTCCTATTAGAATTCCGGAAAATATCCTATTACCAAATTTTTTAATTAAATTGATAAATAAAATAACAGTTTTAAGTACAAGATTCTACTCGGAGAAGGATATATAACATTTTTTTGTATGGCGACAATCAATTTTGATGACTCAAATGCCTAATATCTAGATCACTATGGAGTAATCACAACGTCGAGCTAAATCTGCCCTTAATTTTGAAATAAACTAATGGGTAAATTAAACTTAAACTTTCTGAACTATCACATTTTTTCATTTTGCTCCCTCAATAATCAGATTTCTCACATTACACTCTCAACTATGTCATTAATTTCACATTATCACACTTATTAACGTCTGCTATATATTTAATGGAAAGTTATTTCATTTAGCCCTTCAAACTATATAATTTTTTTCACTTTACCAAGATAGGCCATCGATTTCTGTTCAAAAAGATATCAGACGTTTGTGATTAGGACCATGTGAAACAAAAATGTTAGTTGAGAGTACAATGTAAGAAATCTGATAGTTGAGGGGATAAAATGAAAAAAAAAAGATGATAGTTTAGGGACTTTAAGTGTAATTTACCCTAAACTAGATTAACATAATTCTCACGCAGGCTTTTTGAAATAATGTAATGTGTCATGAAGGGTGATGATTTAGGTGTTAGAACCATCAAATAAATTGGTGAAGAATATAGATGCTTAAATAAAAATTATGCTGTTAAATAAGAACATGGAAGGTATCTGATAATGATGAGGATGGACTAGAAGTTTAACATTATTTTTAGCCAATTCCCTTGCGACCTCTCCAATTCACGAAATTATCATTTTACCCCTTAGCGTTTCAAATTCAACATTTTAACACATCTTAAGGTTTTTCAATCTCTCCAATTCAATTACAATGTTATTTTAACCCAAAAATGTTTAGATGATCACGTCCCACGCCTCTATGATTAATCACACTTTTATCCCCCAAGTTTTCTTAATTCATTTTTTATGAAAATCCTCACTATAACTTCATGTAATAACCTACAAAATCATGGGCACATGTTTAATTCAGCATTTAAATACTAGATTAAGACATTGGGGTTTACAATCCACCCCTAAAAGAAAAGTTTTGTCCTTGAAATTTGATACTAACATCAATTATCGAGTAGATGGGGGCAACGCAACTGTATTATCGGACTCTAACTCCCTTGTGGCTTCCTTGCAACATGGTGTTTCCATACCACAGCCCCCCTTACTCTCTTCTATAATTTGAATTTTAGAAAAACTGTACTTTTAGGCTTTGTTTTTATAGTTGTTTATACAGATTTTGGTGGATTTTGAATGTAAAATAATTGTTATAGAGTCGATTAATAGATGCTAGGGTTCAATATTTGAAATTTGACACTAAGAAATTGTGTTAAATTCTCAAATCAAGTTCAATTCAAATGTTCGTAAACTTCTATTAAGCCAAACTAAAGAAAGGTTCCAAGATCATCAAGTAAGCACGATCTCGGCTAATCACAATCTAGTCGAATTTGAGGATACCTAAGTTCTAAATGTTTGCCTTAATTAATATCATTACTTAAAATTTTGCTATTGCCAAGTCGACATATAACCAATTGGACTTAGCCTAACTAGCGATCTTTGATTCTCTCAAGATTCTACAGTTAAATGGTCAAAAGTAAAACTTAATGACAAATGTCCCTCTTTGGGGTTCTATTATTCCCTCTTTTGGACTTCTCTTTACCCCCCTGGGAACAAAAATTCAATAATGTACAACACCACCAATCCTCCATGAACAAACAAGTGGTTACACAATTTTCATGTATTTCTTCAAATTTGTCTGCTTGGCACAGATATTTTTGCCCTAATGTCATCCAGTTATGGAGATCCATGGGCAAAACCTGTGGCTTTAACCTGTTTTATGTACAAAGAAAAGTAACAGAACTGTTTCTCTTAACTTGAGAACTTTTAGGCCAACTAATCTTCATTGTTGGGCCTCGGGGATGTAAGCCGATCAACTAGTATGTCTAAGGCTTCCTTCATCCACCAGTGCAGACAAACTTCTCTAGCTTCAGCCACTGTCATCTGCACAACACAATTCAACCTACTGATAAGCATACAACTAAGTAAAATGTAAGAATATCCACGTGGCAACCGAGGCGTGTTGTATTCTGTGGGGTGACATTATTTTGTCTTATTCATTACCCCTAATTTAACTCGTTTAATCAATCGATTAAAGTATTTGATACTAAGCCAAAATGTTTATTATAGTTTTTGTTGTGTTTTGGTGGCACAAACAAGCAGATACCTACATATTTTGACCATACTTTACCTAATATTATACTGCAGTGGCAAAAGCCCAAGAAGACCAAACAAACCCAAATCTAAAAATCACGGCCAAAATGGTCTAACCTTTATAGTGGATGAGAGAGTTTGTCAATCAACCTGAACCTCTTGTTTAAATGGATGTGGATTTTAGTTCATCGTTTTATTGATGAACACACAGAGAAACACCAATCGATCTGTTTGTTATTCATCTTAGAATGTTGTATTATTTTTGGGTTAACTACTATCAAGAACTAATTGATTTCAATTTTACTAATTTTGATTTGGGTTCGTGCGCGGTTGAAAATTGTCACAAAAATTCAATATACATGAGATTGGTGGCATTGATGTGCAACATACCCATACTCTTTCCCGGATGTTTTGTTCTGGCCACAGATCAAGTTCTTCTGTAACATGCAAAGGAAACATGTGCCCTTCATGATATGTTCCAAGGCTTTTGCTCTTAAAGCTCCACATACCTAATTGACACTGCAATATTATTCACCACACTGTCATATCCAAATTCAAACCCCCCCAAAAAACAAAACAGCAAAAAATATGAAGAACAACAGAAATATTCAATCTAATTTAAACCAACCTCAACATTGCCAAGAACTCCGGCTTCTTCAAGGGCTTCGCGAAGAGTCGCTTCTTCAACAGATTCATCAAGTTCCCAACCTCCCTGGTAATTCATATTGTTCAAATTAATTTGTTCTAATCATATTATATATTGGAATGAAATTGAATAATTCAGTAAGGTGTCTTTCTTTTCTCTCTCAAAATCTATCAACAGTTACCTTTGGAAACATCATTCCTTGACCTTTCTGTGAACTGATCACAAGGACTTCTAATGCATCCTTTATGGCACCATCATCTCCAAGTTTATATCTGTATGGAATACATCTGCAAAGTGCATGGTAATTTTAATATAGTTCAAGAAAAAGGATTCATACAAACTTGAATAAAAAAACATAGATCTTAATGAAATCCGCCTGAAGCTAAAAGGAAAACAAAAAATCTGGTTTTTTTTTTCCGTGAAAACCAAATCCAAATTTAATTCTCTCTCTGAGAATTCAAAATATAAGAAAGAATAGAGAAGAAGGAAAAGACGTGAAAAACAACATATGAAAATGAGAATAAATCCTCATAAAACTCAGAAACTTACCCTACAACAAGGCGGCGACCTTCTTCATTGTATCTCTGCAAATGCCTCCCTGAACGAGAAATCAGGCACAACATCTTGAAATGAGGTAAAAGAACCAACTAGATTCGTCAATATAAAAGACAAAGGAATGAAACTTTATCGGACTTAGTCCTAAGTCGGTTCATTCAATGGAGTTTTATTTGTTTGATTTAATAAAAAAGTATTAAATATAAGCGTAGCCGGGGTTTGGTCATTGCACTTTTCATCCCTTACAATCAACCCTCAAAACCGAATGAATATGTGTGTATAAGTGTGTGTGCGTTTTTTGGTAAATGGATAAGATACAAAGCAAGGTTGGCGGGCCGTTAAATAGAGAGAGAGAGAGAGAGAAGTGGGCGAGAGAAGAAACCATGGATGCGCAAACAGAACAGAACGAAAGGGTATATATATACATATACAGATGCGTCATTAATCACGTCGCCTTCCATGAAGATGCATGAAGCCAACTGTGTAAGCTTCCATGTAGTTTCTCAAAAACCGTTTTCTAAGGAGAAAATTTTGATGTTTGACAGTTACAACCTAACACTGCCACATGGTATACATCACCTTCTAAATGTTGTACATGTTAGTATTGTACATTGTCAAAAAGATGTACATATATACATAGAATGTTATACGTTTTCATGTTTGTTTGACAAAACCAATTAAAAGTTTGCCTTTGATCGTAGCATAGGCACTACATGGCACCGTGACGTGAGGATGGAATATTTTCTCTCTTTTTTTTTTTTTTAAGTTATTGTTTTAAATCTTAGAATATTAATTGTTGTTAACAAATTCTACTAGGTTAAAGTAAAACAAAATACATATTTTAGGGGCACAATGTAAGTTTTTTTGCCATATTTGTAACGAATGTTATTATCTAGGGCAAATTGAAACTAATAACATAGTTAAAAGAGCAAGATGTGAAACATGATAGTGGATGAGTGAAAAAATGGTGATTGTTGAGGGGTCAAAGTATAATTTTCCCTACAAAGAGAATACAAATAAAAAAAAATGGCATCTGATTTTCATTGATTGTAATACATAAACACATACAAATATGTTCAGCTGATCCTAATCAGAGCGGTATCTTCTCTACATATGGGCACACCACGAACAAAAACTCAAGTCTTGTCAGCCCATCTTCAATGTGGACTCAACTTTTTACTCAAATTTAAGTTAACTTTTGAATAAAAATTTGGTTTGATACAAAACACTCTAATACATAAATTAAAATTTAAAATTAAACAATTGAAAATTTGAGTAAAACTTTGATCAAATTTTTTTTGATTGGACGAACAATCTAACCCGTGGAGCCAGACTTTGTCCACAGTGGGGCAACTTCAATGTTCACTTTTTTAATAAGAAAAGGACAATTTGAAGTGCAATCCATATAGATAAGCATATCAAAAAAAAAAAACACTCAATAAAATTCATCAAAAAAGTCTAACAAAAAACTCTTGTACCAAAAGAAAAATGCTTACCATGCCGTTACTTAGAGCAATGTTGTATGTTATTACTAAGATTATTCCTTTCTTAAATAAGAGATTGTTTCAACATTGATCGCCTTTAAGAATTCTATCATAGCCAATTCAAAGGTTAATTCCTTTAGTTGGATAAAATCAATATTTATCATCAAATTTGACAAATAATTTATAAGGACTATAAATAACAAAATAAGTAAAAAAAATGGTAGAAATAATTTATAAAAACAAAATTTAGCACAAGCTTTTAAATTTAGGAATAACATAATTTATCATAATCAAATTATTAATCAAAAAATAGGACTTACAAGAAATCAAATCATCACTGCTAAATTGAAATTAAGACTTAAAAGCTCTACAAAAAAATATTAAATGGGTAAAAGTATTGTAGATACACTAGAACCCAATAAAAAAATGAAAAATTTATAAAAACTATCGAAATTGGAGATATATTTTTTTGCTCCATTTAATTTAAATCTACACTCAATAGACTGGATAAACACCTTGTTCAAAAAATTTTTTTAAAAAAAAAGACTTGATAAACACCAAATGAAGTCAAAAACAAAGGGAAACATTAGAGGGAATCAAGGGAGAGGAAAGACTGAGGAGAGGAAAGTTGAACGTAACCTAGAAAAGAGGAATGCAACAACTCTGAGGAGCACTCAAATTGAAGAAGAAAGAGATGGGGTAGTTGTCTTCACTCCCACTGCCGCGTGTAATCTATTAAGCCTGACTCTTAAAAGTGTAAAAGATGCTCAACCGTAATTCTAAATACAAATAAACCCCCAGTTTTTTGGATCTCTTTAGTGGGGGCAATTTTTTAAAAGTCCTCTAACACATTAAAAATTCTAACTACACCCCAATATTTTTCAAAATTGCAGTGGGGGCTGCTGCAAATCCGCCCCTGATCATACAACAGTCCCCAGGTGACGAAGAGCCGACATTAAGGTGTCAAACCTTTCCGTCAATGGTATAACTATTGAGAAAGATCGGCATGTTATCACTAGAGTACTTTTTTTTTCTTTCTATTTAGCAAAACATCGCTATAAATGATCGAGGGCCTATTTTTATATAATGAATCCGAATTAAATTTTTGTAGATGATCAATTAAACAAAAATATAAAAAAAATATTGTATTCTTTACTTTTTTTCTTGAATTCCCTCAACATCATACTGACTACAAAAATTTAAGTGGAATCACTTTGCTCAAGTGGGTCTGGAAATAATACACAACAGGTGATATATATTCGAGAAGTTTAAAATTTTCAGACAATTTAGTTAGTGGATAAGCTACAGTTTGAAATGGTCTGACTCAAGTGTAGTGGAGAGTGCATGTCCCCCCCCCCCCCCCCCGGGCACACTACGTGAGAAAATTTGTGTCTCCTTTCCGTCCTTGAATTGTCTAATCTTCAAATACACAACAAATAATGGAGTAGTTGAATACTAACATCTCTCTCTCTCTCTCTCTCTCTCTGTGGTGAATTTAGGCCGAATTCATTTTGGCCTAAACTAGTTAATTGATGATAATTGATTGGTCAAAATTTGGTCAACTCATCGTTTGATGTTCAAAATCTCATTAAAGCGGACATTTCAGATAGCTTAGTTAATTGCTCCATTTTCATTGTAAGATTATTTTAAACTAGAACACGATCTCTAAAGTTTATATATAATTCAAAAAATTTGTACTCAATGTTGATTCTCCGGCTCAAAATTGCATAAAACTTATGGGTCACATAGCATTACGCGTAGAAGAGGGGTGACTCAAGGCCAAACTAAGTTTGACAGCATCTCAAAATTGAATTCGGTGTAAAATAAAGATTACTTATGTTTCTCTATAATGAAAGCTGACTCATTTTTTGGCGTGGCTCAAATGGTTACCCGCAGGGTTGGTCAATATTAGAATGCCAATGTGTAGGGAACACAACATTCTTTTATCATCTATTGAAGAAGAAAGTAAACAATGGTGGACTCTGATCACACAAAAAAAAAAACAATGGTGGACTCTGATCACACAAAAAAAAAAACAATGGTGGACTATATCCAATACGAATCTATCCCACCATCCAAACACACCGTAATGAATTATCATGACAGTACTAACCCGGAATGCACATATTTTGTGGATTACCAAAAATTTTTTACGATACATTGCAACAATTTTTATTGGAAAATGATTAATTATGCATTTGCCAATGATTGTGCTTTATTCGAAACTGGAGACTATTAGGGTGTGTTTTTTTGCTGTATAATGGGTGTGTAAGGTTCTGAGATATTCTACAATGAATAATGTTATTTGCATCTAAAAATTTGACTTAATTTGCTGATATAATGATGTGGTCTTATAAGAATAATTGAATCAACATCAAGTTCCAATGTTTAATGGGGCCTACAGTCAAATCAAAGATCACAATAAATTAAGTCAAAAAATTATATTATTAAATTAAGTCCCAATAACATTGCTCTTCTACAATAATACTCAGATCCACTTAATCCTATGTTTGTTTAGCTAATATCGTCTGGTACTAATTTTTAGATTTTTGTATTGACATAACATCTGCAATTAACATATACAAAAGTAGATTGGTATATTTAATACTACCTGATACATTGTATTATTCAGCAATAAATGGTCACCGATGGTATAAGTTATTGAGTGAATTATATTAAACACTCATTTCTTCACTAAATTGAGTGAATTATATTAAGATCAAATACGTTTTTCTGCAAGTGAAGATGTGACATAGCAGTTGTTTTTTTGTAGGTCCCACAATACCAACAAATATTCACACAAACGAGATGGGATTGGGTAGCAAAAAAAAAAAAAAACAAGAGATGGGATTGGGTTATGTATTAATACCGGTTATAATTTTTCATAGTATGAGAATACTATGGGAATCCGGCAAACAAACACACTTTTATATTATTACACTTACGTTTTCTTGAGAGTATATGAGAAAATTAGTTTTAACATTCTCACACATCGGTAGGAAAGGACAGTTGTAACGCTGTAAAATAATAATGTTATTTTTTTTTGGACTAGGTTAGCACGGCCTTAAAAAGCACCCAACCCCACTTTGCTTAGTGAAGTGTGTGAATTGATACACAATTGTGGACATTCATCATGCAGCATGCTCTAAAATTGTGAGGCTCTAGTAGTCTAGGCCAAAGCTAACAATATTATACAATATATATTCCAAATTTTACAATTAGTGTTAGAGCTATTAATCCTCAAAGTGCAGAAGCCACCAAGTTTGTGCAGCTTGGCGGGAGACAAAGTGGCTTGGGTCCGTGGTAGCTTGCAAGGAAGGAGTGGATGTCGGGGAATGTTGTAGCGTGGTAGCATGAAAATGCTGGGAAGGCCACTTCGTTGGGCTCTAACGTGTTGCTCCCTCAAGTAGCTGTAGGTTGTTGTTGATCCATTGGGGGCAATGAGGGGCTGCTTGTGGGGTTGGGCACAGGGATAGGTGTGCCTAAATTTCCAATGATACATAGCAATGTGACATGCTTGTACATTCTCTCACCCACCCGAGTGGATGTCGAGAACATAATACGGCGCGGTGACATTATTGAGGCATGCAGTGTGCCAGCCTTGTCCTGTACCTACTTGAACAATATTGTATAATGCATTTTAGGATGATAATAGACTCGAACTACGTACCAACTGTGAATCGGGATTGTTCCAATGTCGTTCTTAGGTTATAGCTACAATGACTAGCACCTTGCAATTCATCGATGAGCCGCAGTTTCCAAGACTGTAAACAAGGTTGAAGAACAATCAAAAGAAGGAAGATACAGGAATTGTATATCTTGTTTGTTAAAACGAATTGAAAGGTATTTTGGTTGGGAATAAATGAGATGGATTTGGTGTATTGGGAAATTAACAGCCCAATG